GACTGAGCGAGTTAACGTGGATCAGGGGGTACCTCGGTGACCGAGAGCGAAGAAAAACAGCAGCAACTTCAAAGCCAAGCGCCAGCGTCCCTAGAAACAGAAACCACAGAACAGGGAGCTCCGAAAGAGTTGCAGCTGAGTAAACTGATGTTGGTATCGTCTTTTCTCTTTAGCCTCATGAAAGACTACTTCTTTAAACCACCTATTAACAAGCTGAGCCTGAACTTCTTGGATCAGGATTTGGAGATGGCCTACAGGACGAGCTATCAGGAAGAGGTGTGTTTCTCCCGGCATTAATTTCCTTCTGTAATCTGTCTAAGCAACTGTCTGTCGTTGTTTTTAACACATTTCATTGCAGTTGATGACAAGGGTCATGAAATGTCACGTGTGATTTACTACTTGGTATTGCTGCCTCTGAAAATGGTCTCCTTTCAGTTTACCTGTCTTGTGCCGTGCCCTGAGTCTAGTCCAATGTTTAGGCTGGAAATACATTTTCACAGTCCACCAAGATACACTAATTACTTCTCACCTGCCTTTTCTCCATTTTCAGGTTAATGTTTTAAGGCTTTAGGCAGGCCAGAGAACCATGCTAAGATGAAAGTAAAGGACCAAATGCTACTTGTCTTCTCATGAAATATCGTAACTTTGGGAAAGATAACTTTGAGTTTGATTCTTGTTCATGTCACAGCCTCATGGTTATCCCTGTGGAACCCAAACCTGCTCTGAGCTCAAATGTCATACGTTCTGTAAGCGTGCTGCATTCAGAAACAGGCAGTTCAAAACTGTGCAATTGTAAGGAAGGGCGAGTAAATTGTGAGTAACTTGGTGCCTTCTTCAGGATTCTGCACTGAGTGTAAAAAGTTCTTAATCCCCTTGGGGGCTAATAGTATTGCAGGCTTTCCATGTCAGTCGATATTCCTGCCTGGTTGATATGAACTAGCAAGATGTTTTAAGTTTACATATAGTGACATTAGGTGTCTGTAATAACTGAGGCTGCATTTCCACGAGTAGCTGAAAAGTTGCTGCCAAAAGAGGGCAATTGCTCTCCCCTCCTTGTTCCTATTCCTCCCTGCTCCTTCTAATGGCTCTGGTGCTTATCAGGCTTCCCTGCTGTGAGCCAGTTCGTTTTACTAACCTCGCATAAAATATTCATGGTTTGTTTTTCTGTTTGGGGCTTTTTCTTTTCCCGTCTGGGTCTGTTTCCTGCTGTATTGAACCAGCAGCTCACAGAGAGGTTGGCAAGTGCCAGACCCAGTGCAAGATAAGTGTCCAGCAGCAGGAAGGGCAGTGGGCCCTTCCTTTCCAGTAGCGTTGAGCTATTAGTTTGGGTCATCTATCTGGCCGAATTGCATCGTGATAGATGTAGGTGTTGATTTCTTTTCTTCCCGGTATGCCCTACCTCTGAGGGCAGGTAGGACTTCTGCTTCTGCTGCTTGTTGCTTTCTGATCATGGGCTGCTCTCTGTTCTGGGCAGCGTTGTCACGTCGTCCTTAGCAATAGCCCCTATTTGCTTGTTTTCCAATGTTTACAAATGAGACCTAACTTTTTTTTTTTAACAAAGGGAAGCGTGGTTGTGTTGCAGTTGTTTGTTCACTTTGTTCAGGAGCTCCATACTCATTCTGCAGCACTGTATTCTAGTGGTATCTCTCTGAATAAAGCTTACGTAGCAACAACAGGGAGAAACTTCCTGTGGGATACAGCCTGCAAAATTTGCACAAACTGTACAGAAAATAGTAAATCAAGTTCTTTCCAATGGAAAGATTGGAAAGAGAAGCGAAGCAGTGACAGTCAAGCATATAGAGATTGACCTATTAATGTGGATATGTAGGAAATTCATAGAAGGAGCAGGAATGTGGTCTGTGCATTTTGTTAGTGGCAAGCTATTAATTTGAAAATTATTATGTAAACCTCCCTAGAAATGGGAATCTTCACTCTCTAATAGTAACTCTGCAGCATTGGGGCAAAAACCTGTTAAAGCCTTAATATTAGCATGGTACTGATCCAAAACAACAACAACAACAACATCTTCTCTTGGAGAGTGAAATGATTTGTCAGCACTGCTGGTTCTTTAATTGCCTTGCAGTAAACTGTTGCTGAAAGTAACTTCCAACACCACTGAATTCACCTCTAATTACACGGTGCCAGCTGCATGCTCGGTTTGTGATCGTTCTCTGGGAGCAGCTCCGCTTCCCAAGAGCTTGCTTAGCCTGTTCTTGTTTGGAAATTAAGACACTACTTAACACTGTTAGGGCATCCTTAATGCTGTCACTTTAGGATACAGTGCTGCTTTCCTTAATTCAATTTATGTGACTTTGTGTGGACTGACAGGATTCCGCTACAGTTCAGATTAAAAGGTAATTTTGGCACTGAAATGCTGCTAGCTGAATTTATTAGGTTGCAGAGGGGTACAAATGAGGAACAAGTTCATTTCCCAATATTGCTGAGTTGCAGATAGTGTTCTGAGGAGCAAAAGAAATTTCCAAATTAAACCAGAGTACTCAAACTGGGCTACTTCATGGTGATATTGATACCATACTTTTTGTTTTTCTTCGGAACTTGCTTTCTGTGGTCCCTTGGGCAGATATAAACACTCATAAGACTGGGCTTATCCGAGTAAGCCAGGATGTGGAGCTCATAATCTAGTTTTCAGCTGGACTGGCCAAAGTAGCACAGAGCACAGCTGCACAAGCACCGGGGCCAGGACAAGACGGGGTGGGAATGTGGGGTAAGGGGTTACAGAAGAACAGAACTTGGTGTCCTGGGCTCTGATCAATTCAGATTACATAGCATCCCGATTGCTGCTTTTACTCTGGTCTGAAAGGGGGATGTGAACTCTGTCACAGGCAAGTAACTGTTTCTGTACAGCGGTGTTGGGAGGGTTTTCTTAAAGAACCATTGGAGCTAAAAGGTTTATTGTAAAATCTATTATTATTTTAAATGAAAACCCTCGAAGAAAACTTCTTATAGCTTTATCTGCTAGTAATTATGGTTTCTATGTTTCTTTGCATAGAGTAGGCAATTTTCATATGGTTTATTTCTGTGTCAGAATATTCTGTAAAAATCACCCCAGACCCAGGGGCTGTGCTGCCAGTGCTTTTTTTCAACACAGACTTATTCTCAGGGAACTGTGGTAGCCATTGAACTACCTCTTCTGTTGCTTGTTTCAAAACAGTACTTACGCTGGATTAATGAAGTGGCAAAAAGTTCTGTATTCCTTTATTTGTTTTTGTGAGCTGCTGTTTATGGTACAGTTGAATTCAGCAAAACAGCATTTATTCATTTTCATCCCTTCCCTCAATCCCTGTATTCCACACAGGTTATAAAGAATGCTCCAGTGAAGACATTTGCCAGCGCTACCTTCAGCTCACTCCTGGACGTGTTCCTCTCCACCACGGTCTTCCTCATACTCTCTATCACGTGTTTCCTGAAACACGGGATGGTCGCATCCCCTCCACCACCTGCAGCAGTCGTGGTGTTCATCGTCGCCATCCTGCTAGAGGTGCTGTCCCTTGTCATCTCAATTAGGTAAATAAAGCGTAAGAAAGTCTTGAAATAGCAGCGAGAACTGAAATGGTGCCTGGCTTGGGAACATTTTGTTTGACAGCATCCCAGGAACTCGCTTGGATGGTGTGTAATATTTGGAGAACAGTGTTAGTGAAGCCAAGAAGGCTTGCGGCAGATCTTGTGCAAAGAGAGGTCTAGCTACAGAAATTGGAGGAGAGAAAGGTGACTCTGATAGAGGCCACTTAAGGAAACAGAATCTGCACGCCATGCCTGCCCCTGCTTATTGTTCCTTGGGGTGCCACACGCAACTGGATATCTTCTCCCCTCACAGGCCATCAGAGTGAGGGAATTCAAACAGAAAACTTTTATCTGTCCTTCAAAAAAAAAAAATCCCCGCCTTTAAATTCCTAGATAAAAGTACGCCATTCTGGTGTTGAAACTGAAATAATTTATCAGAAATGCAAAGAGCAGTCCTTTTCTCAAAAAAAAAAAAAAAAATTGCAAGTCACATTGCATCTGTACAGAACTAGTTTTCTTAATGATCTCTATTTCAAGTCTCATGGGTTTAATATTCAAATAGTTTGTGTTTTCTCTGTTTGACACATAATTGGAGTTCAGCATTTCCCCTGAGTCCTGGGCTGTGTGACAGTCAGCTGCTGCTTGAGAAGGGAATGGGCGCTAGTTTGTCTCTGCAGAAAGGGTGGCTTTGCAGGACTGTGCTCGGCAGTGCCAGCCCCCACACTGCCTCTTCGCAGCCCACAGCAAAGAATCCCCAGTCCCTGAATTCTTAAATGCGTCCCTGCAACCCCTGCACCTCAACCTCTCCTGTGCCCTTGGAGGCGAGGCTTGGCTGCAGATACCTGATATTTAACAGTGGCTCCTCATTCCTGATTTGTACCCAGTCACCCAGAGGATGTGTGTTCTGGACTTCTAGGACACTTGTGGGCCTTACCCCGGCATTTGTAACGAGTTGGCGAGCGGTTACTGTGCGGTTCCTGCGTAACGTGGGGTTTCCCCCAGGCACGCTGGAGTTACTAACACATTCAAGTGTAGAAGACTGCAGTAGTACATGCATTCAGTAAAGCTCCTGCTCTCCTGGGTGTGTTGTCTGATTTATACAGATACCACCTGTAACCTGTTGTTAACCCAGAGGACAGACCCAATGAGAAGTTTTTTGTTTGTCTATATTTGTGAGAGCAAGTTTATTCTGCCCTCCTCATCCCCCGTTTTCACTGCACTTCCTTCCGACACAAGAGCGTGTTATAAGGGTGGTGTGTGGAAACATGTGTCCTCACCTGTAGCTCTGCAAATCTGTCAGGTGTGTGTAAGTTAAAATGCTTTTGTAATTACAAGTTAGAAGCAATTCTGCTGTTGTTTCAAAAGAAACAAGAGATTGCAGTTTGCACTTTTATTTTGACTTTTCAGGGTCAAGGTGAAAAATACTAAATTTAGTACTTTAGTCACTGAAGCAAGCTTGTAACTCAGTGTGCATGTAAACGTATGCAAGTGTATTTGCGTGAAAGCTGGCATTTAGGAGTAAAGAGATGTAATTTATGAACAGTGGAAATGCTTTTAAGGATAGTATTTCTTAGCAGCTGTATTTGATTGCTGCAATTTGAATATTACTGTAGTTCTGGAGTTTTTAGAAAATCTAGAAATTCAAGTGTTAAGACCTGCACTGGGAGATGGTTGAACGGGTAGGACTGTCATTCCAGTGCATCCTCAACTGGATTAACTGTTGCTCTGTCCTCTCTCTGGCACCAGAAATGCATTTTCCCCTTTGCAGAACAGTTTCTGTACTCTCGCTTGGGGGGGGGGGGGGAAGGTTTTTTTGTCAGTTCAATGTGCCCAGGCAGCTCTTTCATCGCACCAGGCAGGAAAGTAGGAAGGCAGCAGTGAGCAGGTAGTCTGGGTTCGGTGGCCATGGCATTGTGTCCTTGAATTTGTTCAGCTCTGAACAACTCAACCACCGCTTTGCAGAAGAGATGGTTTCTGCTATCCAGATAGGTTTGGAGAAAATTTGTGTTCATTCACCTTGCAGGTACCTTATAAAAATACTCCATTTTAGTATTTTTAAATTCATTATTGATCCCACTTGTTTTTCCAATGCTACATTGCATTTGCCTTTTTCTTATTTTGTACATTTATAAAAAAATATTGCTGTTATCTTAGAAATTTTTGTATGTAGGTACATAAGGTTTTATTTCAGTCCTGTTCTGTAATTGGTGGTTTATGGATTTCTTAAGGAGAAGGAAAATTGTTGTTTTCAATACGCTATCTATACAGTTAAGAATTTGCAAAGTGGTTTTGTCTTTGAGCCATGTACAGCTGTACAGAGGTTTAGCTTCATTGCAGCACTATATTGAGAGCCATGCTCTCTGGTAGCGAGCCTGGGCCATTACCGAGGTGAGTTTAAGTGGCTTTATAATATTTTCTTAACACTATTTGGTTTTGCCACTGACATTTCTAATATTTTCATGAGACTATGTTGGCTTAAAGCCCAAATTTTACTTTCTAAGATGGCTTGGATGCCTCATTTAATGTCGGAGAGATTTAAAAAGCAAGTGTTTCAGGATGACTCCTAAGTCTTAGAAGTATGTATTTTTTAATATTAATCATTCTTTTGTGCTTAGTTCTGATTTGAAAACAGGTTGAGAAACATCTCACTTTGTGGAGAACGCTTGTAGCCAGCCATCAAAACTCACGTAGTCCCACCTGGCGTAGTAATAACAGATTTTCGGTAAACTCTGTACTGCCAGCGTGCAGGACTGTCTTTATCCTAACAGGCCCTCAGAGGAGGTTTGGGCATGCAGGGAATATTGCAATTCCTGCACAGCTACTACGGGTGCAGATGATCGGTGGTCGCTAGCACTTGCTGCATTCGTTGGAGTCAAGATGACCATGAATCTCAAGACCCCATAAATTCTCGCGGTTGGTTTGGGAATCGCTGGATGGGAGAAGCGATTGCTGCCCTTCCCTGCCCTCTGTCAAACTGGCAGTTGAGGAGTAGGGACGTAGGAATCAAGTCCCCAGGTATCCCTTGCTACTGGAGCCCCTGTCGTGCAACTGAGAGAGGTGTTGCTCCTTTCTTTTGGTGGGAGGGAAGTGTCTGCAAATCACCTGGTTATTTACTCCACAGTTACAAGCAATTGATTCTCAGGAACTTGCTACCGTGGGCTCACATTCGTGATCTTTCCTCTCCTAATGAGGTATAATTTGTACTTGGCTTACCTCTGATCATTGCATCTAAGGTAACACTTCAGTAAATCTCTTAAAGTGCAAAACAGGATCATCTCAGATCTGAGTAGATCTTACCCAGGGTACCTTCTTGAAAATAGCCTCACACTATACACCAAAAAAGAGCAGTCTTTGTAGATGAAAATCTCAGAAGCTTTCTGGTAGGTTTTCAGTTTTAAATGTAGTGGCAATGGCGTATTTGGGGGGGGGCTTTTGTAGGAAAAGGTATCTGGTTTGGCTTGGAGGGCATTTTTTGTTTTGAATTTATAATACGTATTTACTTTATAGTAAATACATAAAATACGCTTTTGGGCCACTCCAGTCTCCACAACCTGAGGCACGCATTTCTGTACAGTTCCCTTGAGCAGAAAGAAGAAAATCGTCTTTTTCCTCTTCAAATCCCCTTCAAAGCGAGGACTGCTCGCTCTGACCACGCGTTATGCACAGAAACAGCGCAGAACTTCCTGCGCAGAAATGTCATCCCAAATGACAATCACAGAATACCACCGAGATATCTTAAGGGAGGAGATTGGACTACAATGCTGGGCACAATCCCAGAATTTCAGGAAAAGGGATTATTTTAGGACCAGAAGATTCTTGCCTAAGTTTCTCATTGTATTTTCATTATCGTGATGTGAAACACCCTGCCTTTAAATCAGTCTGACTTTTAATTGAATCCAGGACTCAGCCTAGGAAGTACTCGCTACAGCTCTTGTGGCTACGACCTTTAGTCCAGCTGCAGGAGTGGGAGAGGAGAGCACTATCGCTGCCTGTACAATGAGATACGAGTTAAAACTTCTAAGTTCTAGAAGAGCAGAAGTCCTCACGGAGCAAGGCTTACAAGGGGGAAGGATGTTTTGATTCCTCTGAAGTGTCTAATAATAAATTATTGGAGTACCTATAGATGAGGATCCCACTGTTATCACAAGTGCCACTCTAAAATTAATTGTATAAAGCTGCACGCAAAAAATGGTGCTTCGTTTGTAAGCACCATTGTGGAAGGTTGTCATCTCCTGTTCTGTAAACGTAGTGCAAAGAATGTCCTTCTGCCCACTTGAAATGTGACTACTTTGGCTTTTCATGAGTTCAATTGAAGTGTAAGAGGTCCTAAAGTTCTGCTATTTTATAAAAATACCGTGGGCAATGTCATTGAACATATAACAGTGTGTGAGATTTCACTTGGGATTCTTAGGAGTGCTTCTGCAGGAATACAGGTAAAAGGCCTGCTATTTTAGCTGTAAATACAGGATTTTTGTTAACTAGATGCTTTTGACATCTAGTTCTTGTTCTCGAGTAAAACTTGTTATAAATAAGTTTGTTTAAAAAAAAAATGTGTTGCTTTTGGTGGCATCCTTCAGTGATGACTTCTGAGTGAAGACAGGAGGCCAGAATAGTGGATATTTCAACCCTGTTCAAAAGAGTGAGAGGTGGGAGCACTTGATAAGTTGCTTCATAAACTCAGAAGTACCTTTCTAGAGGGCAAAAAGATGCTTTCTGGATGAAGAAAGAAAGTTCAATTGTACAATCAAAACAGTGGAACGGGAAACTGCTGTTGTCTGACTAAGCAAAACTGCCCTTTGCCTGGTACTTCACCTTCCCAGGGCTTGCTGAAGGAACACCCACGGTCTGTCCACAGCTGAGACCCTGTGGCCAACCCGTTGGGTCTTCCTAAATTCCTCATGACCGGGAACAGAAATTGTTTTCTGCAACTAGAGCCTAATGAACCGGTTCTGTTAACGACATGACTGATAGGGAGTATTGATGCAAGGGAAAACAATGTATTCTGTTTGCCCTTATTTATTTCCAACATCTGTGACTTTGGTATTTAATATCCCACCAAATTGCTGCTATGCCAAAAGCTTTTGATTTGAACTATGGGAATTGATTTTAAACTGCCAGTAAATACAGAAATGATGGTAACATTCTCCATTACCCATTAATCATTTATGTCAAAGTTACTAATTTGAACTCCAGCTTGTGTAAACATCTTGGATGCTTTAGCATTTAAGCCCTGTTGAGCTACCCACTGGCACTGCATTATTTACTGATACTGCCCTGTAGCCATTAAATCTGTCTGCAGCTCTCATTGCTGTCTGGATTTAATGCACTTCTTCCTGCGATGGGAGGGTTGTGCTGTATTCACAGGCTTTCACTGTTTTGTGAAGGATGAGATTTCAATCATTTTAATTCCAGAGTGCAGAGCATTGCGATAAATACCGGACCAGGGAGGGGGGAATCAATGCAAGAAGGTAAACATTATCACGAGAAATGTGGCGTTGTCCTGGAATTTGCGCTAGCTTTTTTGAAACACGCAGCTGCCTAAATAAAGAAGTGTCCTCATCACAGGATTAACCGATCGGGTTCGCTGATGGATTTGTTGCTATAGTTCCCACAAGAATTTGTCCTGGCATGGAGGCTTGGCAAAAAAAAAAATTAAAAAAGCTTTCTGCACCATGGAGTCCCTGTTGTGTGGGTTGGGGTGAGAGACATGAGCTGCACTGGGTATCTGCCATGCTTTGCGTGCCGCAGAGCTGGTTTCTGTGCCAGCCTACATGGGAGCGACACGGCCGATCACGCAGAGCGTGGGCAGAGGTGTCGCTGATCTGCCTTCGGAGAGACTGGCTTCTCCTGGCTCTCCACCCAGCTGCCACGGGGGAGCGCGGGGATGTAGTTTAGCCCCGGGGAGCGCTCTGGGTTGGAGCCCGATTCGGTTTCCTTTCTCACAGTTCAGCCTTGTAAATGTTAATCCTAATTGGTAGGCTTTGGGAGAATTGAACTTTATTTTTAGAGGCATGAACTTGGGTGGCATTTTCAGAAGTACTCGATACTGGGCTAACTTGGCTGCCACTGAAGACAGGGATAGTTCTGTCGTTGCTGTTAGAGGCAACAATATGTAACGCTTCAGAAAACCCAATTCTTACGCTAGAGAGCTTTTTTTTTTTAATTTTTATTTTGCTTTATATACACTTTTTTAATTTCTGTGCTTTGTTGGAAATTCTTTTTTATGATGGACTATAGCTATAATTTTTGGTGTAAATGGAAGTCCATTAAACTAGGAACTAACAAATCTGTGAGCACCCTCTCGTGGGGTCCTGATGTATTACAGCGTCTTCCATCCTGTTACCCCAAATTAATCTTTTTCTATGCATTTAAGTATAATTTCCAGATTTTAATATATTAAATTAGAGAAGAGCTCTTGAAGCTTCAAAAAATGCTTGAGGTTGCAAAATTCACAGAAGTCTAGGCCAGAGAATTAAAATATCATTCATAAACAATACATATTTAAAGGTGTGGAATAAGTGTCAAATTCACATAAAGAACTTAAAATTTGTCCTGTTTTGTAGCAGGCTTTTATCCAGCATAATGCCTTGTATTTTAGACAACAGTGTTAAAAAAAACAAAAGATAGCTTTTCTCTTTTAAATGATGTTGATAATATGGAATAATTTGTGTAACTTTGGAGATTGTGAATTTCATAGTGTATGTTGTATTTATACTTTTTTTTTTAGCTGTGAGCATCTCTGTTCAAAAAAAATAGTAGTTATTTGCTGTTTGGGCTCTGCTGTGGTCCACTGTTACAACAATAGCAGAATTACCTGCCCAGACTAATTCTGATAACTGCATATATCCACAACGAAATGGCTTTGAATGAAGCTAACTGCACCACGTTACCTCTTTATGTCTTCATAAAAATAATTAGAAACTTGAACAGCAGTTGCAATTCTTCTAGAGTGACTAATGTTTTTGGGCTTTAAGAAGCAAGTTATCCCGAGGATTTGTTTCTGTAGATAAATAATAGTTTTCTGTGCAATGTCCTCGAGCATTAAGCATCCTTTTACCTTTGCTTATTCATTTTAACAATTAGAAATGCTCTCACTTACGAAGTATCTCCGTTAAGCTGCTCTCCAGAGCTCTTCCAGTTGGCTCCTTCAGCACTTCACAGGTTTGGGCCGTCGTTTTATCAGCAGCTTGAGGCAAGAACCGTTCCTTCCCGCATGCCTTGTGCGGAGCCAACTGGGTTGCGATGATAGATACCAACAGGCGAGCGGAGGAGCGTGTCAGCTGCCAGCTGGCCTCCGCGGTGCTCGTCACAACTGCTTCTCAGGCTCTGCTGCCTGCCGAGGGTGCCAGCTCTCAGCCCACACTCTTCTTCCTCTTCCCTAATGAGAGGGAACGGGGTCTGACTGCAGACGGGAACTTCTGGCGGGGTGGTTGTAACTGGGAGAACTGGTTTTGATTGCCGCATAATGTTAAGGCGGCGTGGATTTGCACGGCCTCTGGGTGACTGATCTGTTAGCAGGGTATACAGCCCTGCTTTTCAAACATTTCTGGTGTTATTTTAAGTAATTTTTTTAACTTGTAAAAGCTTCCCCTCTCCCCACCTGCTTTAAGGCTAAATATTTATGAATGGAGAGAAGTCTTTCCTACGCTTACCTTCCAAGTAAGTGAAATTTGGATTTCGGTTTGTTTTCTCAAAGCCCACCGTCCCACTTGCTCTCCCTCCCTTTGCTGACACCCCTTGCTGGAGCAAACCACCAGTCATCTTTCAGCAAAGGTGGATTATTTCCTGAAATTACCAACAGGTGATATGGTGTGTAATGTGCTGTGATTGCTCATACAGTCTAAATGAAGAGTTCAAAGTTCTATTATTACAGGTAAATGAGATGTATGAAGTGATGCGCTGAAACTAATGCCTCGATCTGTGATTCCATTGGTTCCAGAATGGCGTTCTTTCTGGAGGAGGTGATGACTTGCACCAAGCGTCTCCTGGAGGTGATATCTGGCTGGCTGCCTCGACATTTTTTTGGTGCAATCCTGGTTTCTCTCCCAGCTCTTGCAGTTTTTTCACACTTCACCTCTGATTTTGAAACAAATATACATGTAAGTTGTCGAACTCTGTTTCGTAATCTGACGTTTTGGATCTAACAAAGCTTGTTGCTTGCCTGCTGTCTTCCTTCACCTCCCTCGTGCTTTACATCTGTTTGATACAGATCCCTTAGAGGGAAGGGATAGGGCTTTTGTGTATGATGAAATGCCTAGTTTGTTATGTAAATACAGACACTTGCTTATTTGAAAACTCACACAAAAGAGGAGAGGGATACCTGTGAATGCCTGCCTACATACATGCTTTTTTTTTTTCTTAGACCAAACACTTCTGCTGGATAATGCAAATAGTGTATCAGACTTTTCATTGCGTTCATTCTGGTTTTGATTTAGAGTTTGTCGTCAGAGATGCTGTGTATACTTAAAAACTTTGCATGCACATTAGTGAGTCTCAACAGCGAGAACAGTATTAGCAGTGGATGTTTTTTCTTTGCAGAGTTAGAGGGAGAAACTCAAAGGAGAGAGCTCTCAGTACATAGAAATGATTACCGTGCAGGGGCTGCGGGAATGGTTAAAGGAATGTAATAGCTGTCTTCTGAAAAGGAATGGAAAGAAATTGGCATATTTAGCCCAGCCACAGAAAGGTCCACAGGGGATTTGGTGTCTTCTTTAATAAAAACATTCAGAAGGGGGGAACAAGGGGTTAAATATCGAGGAGGGGGAGGAATAGTTTAATTTAAAGGCTAACTGTAGCATAAAATCAATGCTTAAAAACTGTTTGTGAATAAAATGAACTGGAACCAAAGATGAAAGTTTGTTTCTCTGCAAGTTTCTCTTCGGTAGCACAGTGTACAATCCTTCCTTTCCAGGATCTTCAGGGAATTCTGTTTCAAAAATCTCTTGCTATTTCAGGGCCCTGGGCATAGGTAACGACCAGATCCTCTTCTTTCTTCCTATTACGCTTTATCACTGGGTGTTGGGAAGTGTTTGTTCTGTGGGAATGTGAGGACCAGATGTTTTTTGGTCCTTCCTGATTTAAAGATACATTATTCCATGGTTATCACAGTCACAGAAGAGTGTATTCGATGTTCTTTCACATGCCATGTTTAAAATCATTCTGCAGCTTTTAACTTTTGTGAATTTTAGTTAACTATTTTTAAGCTATAAATTTTTTTTTTTTTCAGTTTAACGATGGTCTTCCTCCCTCGTGACTGCCAGTAAACTAATTGTAGGAATGTTTTCCTCACCCTGAAGGGGGGTGAAAACCCTCAAATCTCTCAGATCTGTCGACTGATTTTTATATTATCCCATTCATCACCATCCTTGATCATCTCTCCAAACGTTTAAAAATGATGTTGGAAGAAGCATTTTGTTATTGTATTCTCGATACCTGTTCAGGTTGTTAGTCTAAATGCTTCAGGCAGCAGCAGTAAGATGGTGGTGTTCATCACCAAACTGAGAATGAACTTTGCTTTCTTTCCTCTTGCAGGTCCTCCAGAGTCGTGGGGTTGTTGGCTCACTCTCCAAGAGATGTCCCAACTCGTCTTGTGCTCAGTGTTTCAACAGCCATGGAGCTCTAGGAAATGGAGTCAATCTATAGAGGGTCAGGTAAGTGTCATCTTTTACTATGACATGGTTTTGCGAAGTTTTTTTTTATTCATAGCATTTTATACCCTCCCTGGATATAAAATAATTAAAATCAAAATTAACAAAAACAGCAATGAAAAAAAAAACTTTCCAAAGCCATGCATACATAGTAAAACACAGCACTCACTGACCCTCTATAGGCTGGCTTCATGCTGGGGCATCACTTGGAGTGAGAACCAGTGCTCTGCCACTTTAGGAGACCTGAAATGGGGGAAAAAAAGTAAGTTTAAATTATGGTTTTTTTATGGACACTTCTGAAATTCCTTTTATCTGTTGTTGAGTCATTTAAAAAAATGACAACTGTGCTTGTGGTTTAAAAATGGTAAATTATGTAAGGTTTTTTCCCATACACTGTGTCTACTTCTGAATCACATGCTTATTTGTTATGCTACAGTATTGCTAATCTGCAGTCTATGCACTTCAGCTGTAAAGGAAATTTAAAATGAGAAAGGGAGAGAATGATCATTTGATACTGTAAAATGCAGTATAGCTAAAACAGAACTCCGTAATGCAGTTGTGGAGACTCTGTTTTAGCTTGGATGGTCACGAATATTCTTGATAAAACCAAAATTTGCGCATCAGCTTGAGGGTTTTGACCACTGTAAGATTGTATCTCAGAGAACTGAAGACATTCTGGGCAATATATCCATCCTGCCTTTCCTTTTCTTTATCCAGTAAAGATGTGGAAAGGGAAAGATTTTTGAGATAGGGCATTTGGAACAGAAAATCCAAAATTGTCTTTTCAAATTGGCACAAGCGGTGGTGTTACCGAGCATCAGTTGACAATGACCGATACCTGCCTTTTGTTATCAAACCAGATTTTTTCTTATTTGAATTCACCTGTGGCTGGCCAGTACGATAATGTCCTCTAAAAAGCGTTTTTAAAGGTAGGCAGTTGGGTGAAGTTTTTGAGGGTGAATGCGTTCCACGTTTTCAATGCAGTGGAATTTTGACGTTCAGTTTAAAACAGGCAGGGGCTAACCCCAGCAATTGAGAGGAGGTTATGGTGAATGTTTACTTTTTTGGGGTTTTTTTTGTGTTGTTTTTTTTTTTTCCCCTAATAAGAAGAGGCACTGAGCTTTTTGGAAAGGTAAGCCGAAGGCATTGAAAGTTACTGAAGTAATGGTTGTGTAATGCAGTAATACAAAACTCCATTTAGGGAAAATCGTGACAAACTACCTGTGCTAAAAGTTTTCTTGCTCTTTGAAGGGAAGACCTCCATCTTCAAGTGCTGTCTCCTGATACAGACACTGTGAGGGATTACTTACTGTGCATGTAATACAGATGAAATTAGATCCTTCTCTTTCATATCACACATTCTTTAATTTACGCTGGCATTTATGTGCAGAAGGACTCCAGTCAGCAAGAAGAAGCTAACTCACGCTCTCTCTCTCTGTTGCAGTACACCATGTTTATGTGTTGCGCGATTCTGATCACCATTGTGCAGTACTGTAACTTCTGCCAGCTTAGCTCCTGGATGAGATCTCTGTTGGCAACCGTAGTAGGAGCAGTGCTTCTCATTCTGCTCTACATCTCCTTGTGTCCAGACAGGTGAGCATCACGCCTTAGCGCTCATAGACCATGTTTTAGATGAACAAATTTGGTTTTCTCGGTCAGTGAAGCGAGGGTCTAATGCATGGGATTTTAGTATCTGCCATGAATTTCGCCAGCATCTCAAACTTAATAATTTGATTTGGGAAGAGTTCTGCTTTTTTTTGTTTTTTTGGGGTTTTTTTTGGGAAGGATTTCGGAACGATGTCTGAGGGGCTCTTTTCTGTAATCTGTGTTGAAATGACACTCTGTCCTCAATTGATGTGTTTCTAGGGCACACTTATCAGACCCATAGAATTGCCTTTCACCATTCGTTTGAAAATCTATTTTATTAAGAAATTTCTGAGGCATTTGGTGTGCCAGAGAGCCCAGTTGTTCCCCCACGCCCCTCTGGATTTATTTTTGCCCTTAGGAACCATGTATCTTTCTTCCACCACCTTCCTCAAGGAGTTTTCCACTGTGGAAGGCAGGTGCTTAGATTTAATAGGATTCTAATACCCTGTTTCCTTTCTCACTTTCCTGCCTTTCCAGAGGACGCTGCAAGGCAGTAACCAGAGGAATCAAGTTAATGCAGTTTCTGTGCAATAACCTTAAGGCTTTTCAGTTTTTTCTCTGATAAGCAATTTTCCCCATAGGAGAACTTGTTTTGCAGTATTCTCCTTCTATTTTCTTGCCAAGAGAGTCGAGGGAGTCCTTCCAGCCATCCACTCCTATTGTCAAAATTTTATAATCAACTTGCACTTCTCAGTGGCTGAAGAAATATCTTAGCCTTTGGCACTCTTACCATAGCGTGGCCTTTGCAAGAACTTCTTATCCTAGATTATTCTAGTTCCTATCAAAAGCCCTTCCTTTTACCCTTCCTCAGAGGCCTGCTGAATCGTATGGTGAAAAACATGAAAAAACCCCAAACAGACCAAAAAGAGTTTGCAGATACATGTTTTGTGTGAGTATTTAGCTTTTAATCACCTCCTCAGGTATCTTCAGTGGTCTCTTTTAATCTTGATCTAATTTATATAAAAAAAAAGGCAGGGAGAATAAAAGTCACCCCTCCACACCTGGTCACAACTGTAATTTGGAAGTGGCTGTAAGGATTGTAGGAAGAAAGTCTTTCCTTGGAAAAAAATAACTTGGAACTGGAGTCAGCTGACAAATGGTTTCTAAATCATATTAGACTAAAGAAAAATCCCTTTCTTGTCTCTCTGCAGAGCACTCGGGCAAGGAGTGCAGAACAGTTCTTTCTGGCTTCAGTGGAGGGACGTAGTGTTTAGATTCTGGATGCACCTCCCCTTTCTCATCTTTGATTTGTCCCTTTGGTTTTAGTTGTCCGGCTTACCTAACATCGTCTCTCCTCCAGCACGCTAAGTGACCCTCTCCCATTAAGAAAGCTGACTTTCCACCCGTTGGCTTCTTCCCTTGTAACGCTGACACTCACTGTCCAACCACCGGCTTCACTGAGAAGTTAGCCCCGGGTTTGGTTTCTCAGGGAAGTTAGTGAAGAGCAAACCCTCGATGCCATTTCTTGACCCCCTGGCTACTCTTCCACAGCTGCCCCCAAGCAGGGGTTCTTGCAGCTCATTCAGCTACGTGCGTGCTAGCGTGTCTGCATGGAGCTAGCGTGGCATAACTAAATGCTGGTTCACGGCAGAGCCTTTTAAAATAGGGTAATACAATGTATTTGTAGTACCAAAAGTCCGTACAAAGGCAGGCAGTGAAGCCCAAAGCATGAAAAAGGTGTCATAGTGATTGACATTCCCTTGAGTGATTGTTTGAACAGACCTCTGTGCATCCGTGTCAAAGGCATTTTGTCGCAGAAGAAAACCAGAACGTTTGGTGCCATAATTGTAACTCCTAATTCCTTATTCAAAGACAAAATTTTAGAACAAATCATATGTGCGAATAGTAAATCAGCTTGTGCATAAGCTCTGTATTAAGACTTTGTGCAGAAAGGCAGACACAAAACTTGATTTTCCCTGCATTTCGACTTTATTAAGGGACTGGGAAAGGCTGTTCCCAAGCAGAGAGGTGGAGACCTTGCTATTGTATCAGTTCATAGCATCAGCTTTTGCTGACTACTAAAGGAGTGGTATGAATGTTAAAGAAACATTCTCTTAAGAAATTTTGCTAATGATAGCATATTTTCGCCTGTGGTTTGAATAGCGGTGACCATTAATGGGTGAAGTACAGAAATCGTGGAATATGTTGTTATTTCATCTTTTAAAAATAAGTATTTAAAGTAATATACAGAGCTGTTCAACTGCAGATCTGAAAAAGTGACTTATAGAACTGATCATGAACAAAAGTAATACAGGCTGAATTAGTGAGACCCATAACTTTTGTTTGTTAAGAATAACTTTTTTGTTCCTTTGTCATCATTAGCCTGGATAATATTTTCTGTCACCGTGGTAATTGTAGCTTTGTATGCATCACAGGCAAATTCATTCTGCAGATTTCTTTACTTCTTTTTCCAAAAGTAACTAATCCTGAGAGTTGTAATACTTGATTGCGGTAGAGAAATTGTAATGCAAGTAAACACAAAAATTGCTTGAACTACTGCCTTATTTTCTGTAATGGCATTTTCAAAAATAGGCCCTGTAGTTGTTTAGGGTTTTTTGTTGGGGGTGGTGGGGGGGTGGTGGTTTTTGTGGGTTTTGGGGGTTTTTTAAATCTTTGTATTGTGTGGTCAGATAAGATGAAGGCATAACTGGGTTTTAGAGTTCTGAAATTGCTTTTCCATGTTTCCAAGGTAAGATCAGATTGTTTAACAATTACCCGTTCCAAGCATCATCTTGACTGTGTTATCATCAGTTACCCTTTAGAGGTGTTTGCATCTCTGTGTCTGACTGCGGTTGCTTCTCCCAAGCAAAAAGTGCAGATAAGTCACGTTCAAAGTTTGTCTGAAGCTGATCAAGCATGCAATGCAATTATTGGTCCTACGGTCTACATAATAGAAAAGTTTAAAATGCTAACTGAAATTCTGGCAGAACGCTTTAACTTTCCTTCTGATATCAATGCTTTTTTATTTCAGCTCCATGGAAACTTTTCATCTAGATTTGGCACAGAACTTTAGGTAAGCTTTATATAGAACTACCATCTTTATGTTTAGGGACGGAAACATTTTCAGTCAATTTTATGTAGCAAAACTTTGCATCCGCAGTAACACACTTCGGAATTCAACAAGTTGTGTTTTAAGCTCCTTGTGTACGTAATTTCCTTTACAGAGGACTTGGGTGTGACCAAAAATCATCAGAGAGCTAATGCTGCAGTCACTGAGTTGTGTAATGCTATTTTCTTTTTAAATTTGATTTCTAGGAAATAGAACTATGGAGGAGCTATATAAAATAGCATCTGTTTTTCTAGTAGTAGCAGTTTTTAAAGCATTGTCTGTACATCATGAGCTATTTATTTGACTTCCTTGGTTGATTTGCACCATTCAGAAGTGTGCTGAGCTGGATGCTATCCACAGCTGGCCAGGTGAGAATTCCCTGCGGTAGAGGAGCTTCAGCTGAAAAAGCTGGCTGTGACGCCAGCTGCCTTCGCCGGGATGGAGACATGCTGGCGGTGACGGTCGGGGTGCTGTCTGCCACCCTGAGCTCGCTTGGGCAGAATAGCAAGTCGTATCATTGAGAGCAAATGAAATTTTAGCCCCCAGACTTTTAAACAAACGAACAAGAATCTTTTCCTGGGTTATTAACACCCCCTTATAAATGAACATGTTAAAGATTCACTCTGATTATTTCAGCGTTGAATTTCTCATGGTTCTATTGCAAGTTTTGCAGTACCATTTTTCAAGTGTTTTTATTGGTCTTTGGTATTAGAAAAGTATGTGTTTGCCAGTTACAAGTTTGGGAGCAATACTGGGGCGATGTTGTACTTGATTGAACTAATGACCCTGTAAATATGTGACTCACCGATTCATCTAAACAAACGCGTATTCAGGAGCATGTTGCTTTTACTGGGAGTACGTATCAAAACAAAATTACTTTTTAAAGAATGTCATCTATCTGAATGCTGTGGTAGTTCAGAAAACGTGTGGGTTTTAAGTACAGAGAGATGGTAACTGTGCTTTCATGTTAGATATTTATTCACCAAGAAGTTAGCACTTACTACAGTGCTGGGTTTTGGTTGGGGTTTTTTTTTTTAACATGGGTTTTCCTTTCTGTATGGCTTTGAGTCATGAAAGATAACTTCATTTTCATAACAGATTTCCAGTTCACTAAATCCAGAGTGGGAAGTTGAAGCCAAAAGAATGGAGGTGGCTTGATTTTTTTGTAAACTAAAACACTGAAGGGAATTTGCTGAAAAGGCAATGTACGAAATATTAAAGCACGGTGATCACTGGAAGTAATGTCTTAGGATTAGCCTGAGTTTGGATCCTTAGTGGTTTATTATTCGTTTGTGAAATCGCCGAACCTTTTGTTTGTAATTCTGAGCAACACATCTTGCCCAGCGCTGACAACAGCTTCGCAGGCTCCTGGCCAGCTGCTAATCACTAATAAATAATTCATTCTGCCTTAAATAATTGACAACCCAGTCTTCCGTTCAGTGACTATTTCTACATCATCATTTATTAGAAATCTGGCAAAAAATCAGCTATCAAGCATTCTTTGCATGCAAATATTTTTCTTCCATAAATATAACTTCTAACTCAGAACAAATAAAGGCAAAAGTGGGTAAGAAACCAAAGCATGCAGAAGATGTTATTGCAAACAGGCGTGGAGCGCTCTCTGCCTGCTTTGCAAATCCTAGCTTGTGATTTAAATACCAAATAAGGCAGTGACCAAAATGCCTGGCTCATTAAACGTTTCTAAACTTCATTTTAACGTTCGTATTATGAGAGGTACTAGATTTGCGTGTTGACTGTCATTCCTTCAGCTGGGGAAAAGCCGCCTGTGTGTCGTGCGTGTGTTAACACCACGTAGCGCTGCCCTCCCTGCCTGTCGGCAGCAGTTGTGTCGCTGTCTCTGCTTTAATGCAGGAACTGTAGCAGTCCAGCGTGATCTCTGTTAACGGTCCAGGCTCCGCTGCTCCGAAGCGGTCCAAACTTACAAATTGACACAATGCTTCTATGTGTTGGGAGTTAAAAGAGAGTTAATCCTATTCTGTTTACCATTAATTTGCAGCAGAATTTGGCTTCTCTTTTCAGGGCTCTTTTAATGTACGTTGTTGAATACCACAGTTCTAGAGTTCTGTGCAAACAGAATTTCCCCTTTTGCCTGGGGATGGACTAATAAAAAGTTGAAACTCCCTTATCTCAACAAAGTTTTTTGCTGTTCCTTTCTCGCTGACATAAATAAATAAAAAAAGTTCCTTGCTCACCCCAGTCAGCACAAAAGCTTTTCCTGTGTTCTAAGAGGGCCAAACAAACTTATTTGTTTTGCATGCCTTTAATGAGATTATTCCCTTTTTCTTGATCAAGAATTGAGATAATTATTAATGTTGCATGGGAAGAGACATACGAGTAACGGTAATGAAGTCTTAGCACAAAGTTCATCTCTGGGTTGTCCACGCTGTGCTCAATAAATCAAAATATAGAGTTTGCCTTGTTTTCCAGACAGACCAGTTCTTCAGCCCAAAAGAGGTACGACCATCAACTTTGTCTTTTAAGCGGGGAATATTTCTCGTTTTCATTCATTTCTTATCTCAGAGCAGGTAGGGTGTATCACTTTCCAGTTTGTGACTGCTCGAGCAGGAACAGCGATAGGCCACTTGAGGTAGAAGCCTAAAATCGCTTGATGGTAGGAGGGTTTTTTAGATGCATCCACTATATGTTCTTCATCGAAAGCAGCTGTTTGATTTCCCCTTTCCGCACTGTTCCGCCATTGCATTCTTTTTTTGAGATTTAGCAGGCATGCATCCTCTGTAAATAGTGCAAGATATCCAAATCCAAACATAGGTTACTGGCTCAGAAGCAAAATGGCTTTCCAAAAAATCTTTATAAGTGGAAAGCCATTATCTTTATGATTTGTGATCAAGCCAAAGGAGATTCTATCTCCGGAGCTCTCACTTGTTCCATATTCAACACACAGCCTGGATGAAGATGCCAAGTTAATAGTTAGGCGTCTGTGCCAGGAAGCACTTCACCAGTTTGAGTTAAAGGAACATTGTCGGCTTAAGATTTCAATTTGAATGATTTTTAAAATTAGTTTTCTGCTGCAGCACCTCATAAAAAGTAGAGCTCAAAACGATTTGGGGGTGTGCGATCCTTTCTGTTTTAGGTGCGTGGGGTCTTTTTTCTTTTTGTTCTAAAGGGTAGCTTCAGGTCCTCTTTGCTAACTGACTGTGTAAGATGATTTATGGTCCTGTAGGTCCTGTAACCTCATCGCTGCAACGCCAGAAATTTGATTTCCAAATGAATAAGATGTAATTGCTCCCTCCTTCAGGGAGGGTGGCTTTTTGTACTGATGCTTGCAGCAGTCGCATCGTGATCAAAAATGCCTGCTGTGGAAAAGATACCGCACCTTCTTTTTTGAGATACTAACCCATTACCTTATTAATGAAATCAGGTCAGCTTGCGAGTGAGTCACTCATTTCGCATGCAGATCTCTAAGGTTGTACGCCCACGTGGGAAACAAGGTCAGGCCAGCGCTTGAGGAGATGATTGAGAGCTCGCAGATGCCAGTACTTCAGGAGTGGTGAATGGGAGGCAGCAGGTTTTTCTTAAAAGGCAGATCTTGCGTTCAACACGAGCCACTTTTTGTAACGTAAAATTTGTGGTGCTTGCCTAATTCATTTAAGAGGAATTAAAGTACTTTGAGGAGTATTTTGTACAATAAACTGTCAATAAAAAGCCTTTAATGACTTAAATCCCTGTGGCAGGGATGTTTGATGTTAGAGCAGATTATCTGGATCAAACTCGTCCTCTCAAAGGAGTAACATGTCATTGCTCAGATCCTCTAGCAGATCTCTTCCCACAGGATAACGGAAAATAATGAACTGTTCTGAAAAGATCCTGAATCGTGCTCCTTAACCGAGATTCGTTCCTCACCTTCTCCAGCCTCATTTATTCTCTAAGATCTTTTCTCTTACTTATCCTCCCCTTATTTTGTTTCATAAGCCCATCAAACTGGGAGGATAGTCTGCCACCTGCAAAACAGGCAGCAAGGATTGTATTTCAGGAATTGTTGCCATTCTAGTCATTAATAACTTAGCATTTGTCTTAGTCTCTGACTTACCTTTCTAGGGAGAAAATGAGTAAGTTCTTAACCAGAGGTTCTGTTGAGAAAAGTAGTTGTAAGGGGGAAAGGAAGGAGTCAGTACAGCAGCGCGCCAGCAATTACGGGAACCTGATTGTAGGGGCCTATTCTGTGGGTTGGGAGTAATCTCCTCTTTTCATTCTTCCCTCGTGGTTTTTTTTAATATCAAACCAATAAAATGAATATACCTTCACTTCTTCTGGGAGAAGTATATTTATGGTTGAAAACAAAAGGAGGGATTTCCAACATAATATGCAGTCTTAGCTTTAATCTGAAATTCAACCTGTAAGCTCTCTATTGTAAATATTTTACTTAGGGGAAACTTTTTCTCCTATAGGAGATAGGAGCTAACAGATACGAACAAAGACCATAGCACGTACAAATGTTTTCGGAGATTGTGCACGTTCATCTGTTTCACAACTGTGCTATGTTTTTGCTTCATCACGCTTTTCTGTCAATCAAATATTTGAGAATGAACATTCAGAAAAAGAAACTGGGTCCGTAACATAGCTCAATTGTTAAAATGTCTGCTTCGATTTCAGAAGTGGGAGCATGTCCCCCATGGACATACAAGAAACAAACTGAACTTGGAAATACAGAAACAAATTTAGTCTTCTCTTCTTGAGCTGTTGCTGCAGTTGTGCTTTGAGTTTTAATCTCTTTTGCTAACATACCTTCATAAGAGAAATACAGACAGACACCGAGATGCGGATTGCCTTTCTGTTTTTCAAGGAGAAAGGTTGATGTGATGCTTTCCCTTATCAAACCATCTCTTAACTTGAAAAACTTCAGCATGTGTCTGCTCATATCAAATCTTAAGCTTTGGCATAATTTTATAGAAAAAATTGCAGTGAAATGGCTCCAGAAATCACTGCATGCCAATCTGTCTGGGTTTAGGCTTAGTCTCTGGGATTGCATAGGTGGTGTCTTCTCAGGCTGAATCGGTGTCATTGCATCTCTCCAGAAAGTTGAGGTTGTAGGCTGCAGATGTCTCCTTGTTAAGGGCGGTTTGGCACTGGAAGCATCTTCCATCAGTGCTTCATAATCTGCACAGGCAGTCGACAAATTGTCAAAAGGATTTGAAATATTACTCTCAGTCTATGCGAGACATGACTTTTTTTTTTTTTTTTTTTTTTTTTTTTTAAATCTTGGCACTTTGAGAAACTTTCTGTCTCCACCAGAAAAAGCGTCAGTGGTTATAATGCATAAAAGATGTCAACCCAGAGCTCCATATTCTCCGCTTTCATGCGGGAGACATGCAGTTCTCCATGCAGTGCCTTGTACAGGGCTATCTTCTTCCAAAACCTTCATGTGTTAACATTAAAGGCACACTGCAAAAGTTACTGGTCTTTGACGAGGAGACAAGGGAAAAGCGCTTTTTTAAATGCACTTTGAGAAACTTTCTGTCTCCACCAGAAAAAGCGTCAGTGGTTATAATGCATAAAAGATGTCAACCCAGAGCTCCATATTCTCCGCTTTCATGCGGGAGACATGCAGTTCTCCATGCAGTGCCTTGTACAGGGCTATCTTCTTCCAAAACCTTCATGTGTTAACATTAAAGGCACACTGCAAAAGTTACTGGTCTTTGACGAGGAGACAAGGGAAAAGCGCTAGGAGCATATAAAGCAGATGTTTCTGAATATGGGAGGTAATACAAAAAAGACAAATTCCACAAAACTTACACACGCCCCCCGCCTATACAGTTATACGTGTGCACGCATACATCTAAACACACACGGGCATTATTAAGCATATTTATCTACATATTTACATGTAGTGCTTTTAGTGATATATTTAGATGTAGCGATAACTGTTTCCTTGGTGAAGTCCTTAAAATAGGACTACCGTAAAGGCTGGGCAATTTCTGTTGCTGAACCTGATGATGTCCCTTTAAGGAAGTACTCCGTGAGTTTAAGAATGAAATTAATTCTTTAGCATGCTTAACAGCAGATAAAGTTATCGAAGCCTATTTTATAATTTAGTATGTAACGTATACTTCCTACGCTTTTTTCTAGAAAAGGATTTCTAACTACGGAGCAGAAATGGCAGAGCCCTAACTCTGGTTTTAAATGCGCCTTTTGTGTTCTTCCCTTTCTTCTGCTTCCAGCTCCAGAAAAAGTCCATGCAACAGTTCGGTGCCAAATGACACGAAGAGGCCAGCAGACCTGATCGGTCAGGAAGTGATTTTGGTTTCCTTCCTTCTGCTCCTCCTGGTCTGGTTTCTGAATCGAGAGTTTGAGGTCAGTTACCGCCTCCACTACCATGGAGATGTGGAGGCTGATCTTCATCGCACCAAAATTCAGAGCATGAGGGATCAAGCTGACTGGTTGCTGAGGAATATTATTCCGTACCACGTGGCTGAGCAGCTGAAGGTTTCCCAGAGCTATTCCAAAAACCACGACAGCGGTGGAGTAATCTTTGCAAGTATTGTGAACTTCAGCGAGTTCTATGAAGAGAACTACGAAGGAGGCAAAGAGTGCTACAGAGTCCTGAATGAGTTGATTGGGGATTTTGATGAGCTGCTGAGCAAACCGCATTACAGCAGCATTGAGAAAATCAAAACAATTGGGGCAACCTACATGGCCGCTTCAGGACTGAACACCTCGCAGTGTCAGGACAACAACCATCCCCACGGACATTTGCAGACCCTTTTTGAATTTGCCAAAGAAATGATGCGAGTGGTGGATGACTTCAACAACAACATGCTGTGGTTTAATTTTAAACTTAGGATTGGCTTTAACCACGGCCCCCTCACTGCTGGGGTCATTGGCACCACCAAGTTGTTGTATGACATTTGGGGTGACACTGTGAACATTGCTAGCAGAATGGACACCACTGGCGTCGAGTGTCGTATACAGGTGAGTGAGGAGAGCTACCGCATCCTAAACAAGATGGGGTATGACTTTGACTATAGGGGGACAGTCAATGTGAAGGGGAAAGGTCAGATGAAGACCTACCTTTACCCAAAATGCATGGACAATGGGATTGTGCCACATCACCAGTTGTCTATATCTCCAGACATTCGGGTTCAAGTGGATGGCAGCATTGGGCGATCTCCGACGGATGAGATTGCCAACCTGGTGCCTTCTGTACAGAATTCTGATAAGATAGCCCATGGCACAGATAACTCAGAAGCCAAGGACATCCTTCCTTCCACCAAGAAGCTCCAGAAAGACGCGGTGAGAGCAGAGGAGAGGTGCACGTTTGGCAAAGCCGCGGAGAAGACTGACTGTGAGGAAGCGGGAACTGAGGAGGTCAATGAACTGACAAAGCTAAATATCTCTAAGAGTGTATGATGCACTGTCAGAGTTGCATGAAGTGCTCTGTCAATAGAAACACAAAGACATTTGCAATTGGCAGTTTTCTTTTTCAAGAGAGACCTTCTCAACACCTGGGTTGTACGTTTGTTTTCATTTCAGCCCCTGGTGCTGTGTGGATCACAGCTCTTCAGGGCTTGTTTTCATCCATCTCTCTCCTCCATGCCCCAAATCACATCCCAAGCTCCCCAGCTCCCTGTGCAACCATCTTACAGCTGAGTAGAGGATATTAAGTGCCTTCAGATATACTCCATTGGACTCCCTGTCAAGGTACAGAGGCCCCAAGTGAAATCATAGCTTTGGGTATTTATCTAATTTTAAAGAAAAGAAAAGCTGTGGTTATATCATTTTTATTGTTGTTTCTCACAAAACACTTTTTTTGGCTAATGCAACTCCTTGGGTTTTTTATATCTCTCTGAACAATGTTTTACTGTTATCAGACCTTTTGTATGTAAACACACAGACAAATGTGCATGTATCTACCATATGAGACTGACATAAAGTGCCAGTAACGTACCACAAAAGAATGTCTTGGCAAGGGGGTGACACAATTTGACTTTGTGTTGGGCTGGAGGAGGAGTTCTGCAGTGGCTCAACATTTCGTTAGAGTAGGCTGAACAACTGCTGTAGTTTTATTCTCCTTTACCAATGCTTTCTTCAACCTTAATGTGCCATTGTGTGCTTTGGATACACTTCTTTTCCATATAGCCAATGAGTTACTGATATGTGGGAATGGAATAAGGGTTCGGACTTCACCAGCTCTCAGGACAGGTTTCCAGAAGCAGACGAGTGACCACGAGAGTGTTACAATTCAGGTCTTGCGAGTCTAAAGCAGTTTCGTGTTGCTCCGTACCCTAGCTGAATTTGTGAAGGTAGGTGAAGTTGGTATCTCTAAGCTGGTCTGACTTGAGAGAGAGAGAAAAGCGAAATAAATGTTTTGGGAATGCCTTTATTTATTTATTTATTTTATTCCTGTTTTTCTTATGTTTGGGGGTTTTTGTGTGCGTGTGCGGAAGGGATCGGGAGAGACGAATTGTTAATTGGTTTAATAAGAGTAATAAGATGGTGTTTCAGCCTCTTTGAACTACCAACCACTGTGAGGATGTTACCTAGGCAATATTTGTTTCAAAGCTGGTGAAACTTCCGAAGCCACCAAATGCAATTGAGTATCCCAGCTTCCCTCTGTACTGAATTCAATGGTGCTGCACAATATTTTTCAGGATTTCCCCCACACACACACTGTGCTTTTGCAGCAGGGAATAGAAGAGCGTGCTCCCTGCATGCCACTGAAAGCAGGAATAGGGAAAAATGTCCTTTCTAGTGAGCTGAGAAGCACAATACTTTCCCAGTCCTGCAGATGACTCTGTGCGGGTCCCTGGGGCTGGGGACCTGCGGGAGCACAGGAACCTGCTTGCGCAGAGGGAACCGCAGGATGGGGGCCTTAGACTATTCCAGTTTGCCCTCTGCATGCTTCCATCACCGCCTTCACTTACATTTGATGCCCCGCTTTGGATAATACTAATTATTCAGCTGTTCCAGTTCAGCTAACTCCTTGCGACACCGAATAAAATGAAAGGATTTTTATGCCCGAAACAAGTTTGTTAGCCAGGGAAGAGCTGGTGAAGTGCGATGCTGTGCTGTCTGCATATTGGTGTGGGGTTTCATTCTTTCTTTCCATCTCAACTAAAGTGAGAATATGTTGGTAACTTCTTTTTATTCCCTATGTGATTTTTGGAGTTTGAGTAATAAATGTGTACGTTGTGAAGTTCCTATTCAGCTATTTGAGATCCATCTACACTCCACGGTCAGCACGGAGCCCTTGAAGCCTTTGTCAAATGCAAATCTGTGAGATTTCTGGATCTCGGTTAGTTAAACGAGACTCTGCACACTGTTCTCACAAAAGCTGCTGTTTATGCGCGTCTAAATTGCGTTTGATAGGAAAGCTATTTAAAATTAATCTTACTTGCTCAATCTGCCAGCACACAAAATAAATAGGGGATACTCATCCCCATGCCCTTTCGCCACAGATGCTGTAGCCTGTTTGGGGGCTATTCCTGACGAGCAACGATATAAAGTTTTTATTAGTGCACAGTTTTACAGCAGCCTTCCTTCTCCGTAGATGAAAACTCGTCCCCTTCTGCCCCCCTCCCCGTAGTGGGTTGCACTTCCAACTTTCAGGTAGTATAACTCTGCAAATACCTCTTGTATCCGAAGAATGTATTCTTGAAACCATTTTTAGGGTTCTCATTTCAGTTAAGCGTGTGTCAGTATTTCTTTTCTTACAGTAGAGGAGTTAACGTGTCCAGAATTGTTTACATGCCTTCTAGTGTTATATTAGTGTCTCAAAGTCGTTCAAACCTTTCTCCCTTTCACTTCTTTCTCCCAATTTTATAGACGACTCAACCCAGCATTTCTCTCTCATTGATCAGCTGCTTGCAATGGCAGAGTTCAGTCGAGACGCGCCGGCTTCTCTCTCGCGTGAGACACTGCACAATAACTAAACCTCCACCAGCAACAGCCCTGCATCCAGTGAGAGGTTTGCACCCTGTGATTAAACCTGAAAGGAGAAGGTGCTGGAGTAGGGCCCCGGACCCACAGCGCCTTCCTTCTCGTTGTTCAAGCAATGCACTGCAGAATACAAAAGCCTCATCCTCCAGCCTATAAAGTAAATAACGCTCCCATGCTGTCACGGTATGGTGCTGCGGGAGTATTGTTGGTTTTCTGGTAACATTAGAATACAAAAAAAAAAAACAACCAGGGCCTCTTTTTTGTTGGCACTAAGCAAATAAAATGACTGAGGACAGAAGTATTAGTGGACTCTGAAATCAAGGGCTGTTGTCTGCCCTGGGAACTGCCGGCGACGTTACTCTGCCTTAACTCTGAAGCTGGGAAAACAGTCGTGAAAAGTTGAGTAACTAGTGGCACCCCTGTTTGCTTATTGCCACCAGGACAGCAGCAAGCATTCAACAGCTGAGACTGCAGGCCTTCTTTCGGAGGTTTTAAGTCTTCTCTTTAATGCAGGGCAGTAATGAAATCAAGAAGCTGAGCTCTCAACGTACGGTTTGGATAGTGAGGTTTTTCCCAGGCACAAGCAGCAAGGAGATACCTGTTTTCTGTTGTAAAACAGTGGGAGCTGAACCTTTACACCTTCCCTTTACACCTTTGAAAAGATGTCCCAATACTCGCAAAAATTACTCTGGAGGCGTTTTTAATGGCATTGTGGGGTTCTGCGTTCCTCTCTGCAGCCGTGACACGTGTGTGCTTGCAGGAGGCCTTGATCAAAGTTCACTGCATCAAAATACCTTTTGTGCTTGTTCTGTTAGTGCCAGCACAATTCGAACACGGCGTAAAAGTTGAGGAGTTGGCCAGGTAGAAGCTGCGCTTCCTATTTTTAGGGTGTTTTAATGGTGATAATTTAAAAATTATCCGGCGGGGGGGGAGGAGGGGGAAGATTGTTGAATATTTGCTAGCCCCGCGTTGCCTTCTGCCACAGGTCACTTGTGGGAGCCGCTCTAGAGCGTAGAGTAATAAGGAATATGCTGAACATATTCTGCAGTGTCGTCTTAATCTGCTGGTAACACCCAAAAATGCTTATTTTTCTCCCAGCTACTTCTGAGAGACAGATTTCTCATTCAAAAACAAGTAAATGGCATTCCCATTGATTTACTTCTGGCGTTTATGATTTTGAGAAGAACAGATTTGCCTGTTATTTCCCCAGATTTGGGGCCGTTCCCCTTCGCTGGAGGTAACGCGAGCGCTGCGCGCAGGGCGGGACGGTGCCGCTGCCTGACTGCAGCTCCTGTTGTGTCCTAATACGAAGCGCAGGAGGATTTTGACGTGACAAAATGAGGAGGGGAGAGGATGGATTCCCCAAGGGCTTTACAAAAAAAATAAGTATTTGGATACTCTTACTTCAGGGCTAAAACACAGAAAGGAGGCGCCCGGAGCAAAAATGAAAGGAGCTATAAACCAAACACTGTACCCATACCAGCTTTTAGGTAAAGAGCAGCTTATTCTTGATTAAAGAGCCAAGCTTTTAGGGTATCTACCATTTTAAAATTGCTAACTCTAACCTGTTTCTAAAACTTTAATTCTGAATACGACAAAAAAAATGTTGCAAGGGAGCAGTTACTAACTTCATGCCTTTTATTTTGCAACATCGCAAGAGGCTGAGGGCGCCTGAGGTTGGTTATAATGCGATCAGCTATTTAACTGTGCAGCTTGGGGTGGGGTTTTTTGCCAAATTTAAAGACTCTGTCTGTTTTCTCCCTTCTTCCCTGCTGTGGTCTTGTTTGCTCGGTCTGGACGGGATGCGCAAGTGGTTCTTGCCTCCCTGCTCCTCACCTTTGCTAAACTGTGTCTTCCGCAATGCACAGCAGCGTTTGAACTCCGCTGCTGCCAGGCCGTGGCTTCAGATGCTGCTCTCACTGCTGTTTGCCTCTCTATTTCCTCATATAAAGGGGAAGAGTACGTTTGATTTGATATCTTGGTCCATTTGTGCGGTCACAGCTGCAGCTTTCTCCTTGTCTTGTTCTTAAGCTGCTTGACAGAAGATACAGAAGAGCAGCAGGCACATACCAGTAGTTAAATTTAAGAGCTCTGTGAAAAAATACATTTTTCATCACACCAAAAGTGGGAAAAAAGTTTTATTACTCTTGAGTTTTAGCAAGCGTGCAAAAGCAGAAGAGGGTAAGAAATAGAATCCCAGTGTTTGCTGTCAGTGTTGGGATTCGCTGAAGCAGCGTTCTTTCAAGTCCTGTTTTAGTTAAATATTACAAAACTGCTAAAAATGCAGTAATTGTTTATTTGATGTGACTTTCCCAATTGCTGAAGATGTCGCAGGGGTGGTTTGACTGTAAATACAGAATGATTTTCACATGGAAAGAGAAACGGTCGAGGTAAAGGTGCAGGGATCCCCCAGTGCCGTGGTGCTTCCATCTCGATGCCCAGGAGCCGCGAAAACCCAGCTGGGGTCTCGGAGTAATCCTGAGACTTGGCTAGCTGTATGTGGAACGTCAGTTTGGGCAGGAAAGTCAGTCATTCCAGCGTTTTTGTCCTTTCAAGTTCTCTATACAGGCTGTAGCAGTCCTTGTTTTGATTTCTAGGGGAGCAACATTTAAGGGGAAAAACCGGCATTACCGTTCGCTGTTGCTGGGGTTATCGTCCGCAGGCAGTGGCGGTAGGATTCTGCAAAGTCCCGTAAAAAAGTTGGAAATTGTGACCGTTACGGACTAATTCCTGCGGGCGCTGTAGTTGTCCAGTGTTTAGTTTGAGTGGTACAACGGTCTGAAGATTTTCCAGTCAAGAGCTGTGAAACGGTGAACCATTTTCTGCTAAAATATACCAAAAATGGAAAGGAGACTGGAGAGGTGGAAGACCGTGGTCTGCAGAAATGCAGCGTGAGCCGTGTAGGGTACGGCGCAACGATGGGGTTTTTGGCTCGCTGTGCAAACGTACGTGGCGTGGGCGATGCTCTGTACGGTAACATGCGCTTCCAGGGCTGAAATAGGTGAGAAAAGGAGAAGGTGAAAGTGAAACGCGGCGTTGGGTCGCTCTTAAGGCTGATCTTTAGTTTCCGGGTGCGATGGCTTTGCTGGCTGCTGTAGGGGGGGGTTTCTCGGGCGTGGGGCAGAGCCCTGGCTTCCCAGCAGGCCGAGCAGAGCACGTTCCCTGTGGTGGGATCAGGGAGCCTTAAAATGGGCCTGTGGGGTTTTTTAAATCTACTTTAACGCCACCCTCTGAACTCTGTCCAGAGTGATGAGAAGGAGCTTTGTCAGTGAAAATCGGACACCAGGAGCTTCTTGTCGTTGTCTGACTGGAGTTCATTTAAAATCAAACGTCCGGCTCTGAAGAGGTTCAAGTAGAAAACCAAATAGGGGTGAAATATATTGTGTCTTCACGGCGGCTTAGTTCGAGTGGTGCCATGAGGAAGAGTTCTGAGGTGCTTTATAGACACTGGGTAAAGCTCTGGTAGAAAAAAAAATAATGCAAGTTTTCTGCATAAAACCTTTTTCAAGTCTTTATCAGGCGAGCTAAGCTTCTGTCTTCAGCCCAGAGCAGTGCTGTACGACGCCTATAGAAGCGTTTGCTACTCACCTTCGAGAGACAACGTTAGCTTTTGAGAAGGAGGTTTATTTTGGAAAAAATAGATCGGTAGAAGATATTTAAAGCTTTTCTTCCCTTGTGCTTTATTGTGGCTGCTGAACGTTCCCCCGCCTAACGGAGCCGCCCAGCCCGAGGCTGGCGAGGAGCAGGAGGCAGGCGCCCGGCGTTTCCACCCGCGCCGCTCCAGATGCAATACGTTTAACATCGCTTTTAGCAGCTGTTCCACACGCGCGTCTCCGAGTCGGGAATTGGTGTCGAGGAAGTAGTCGTTCGTGTTTTCACACTTCTGGAAAGGCCCCGAGGCTGCCGTGTCGGCTTCTCGCGTCTTAGCCTTTACGTGGTTTGTTCCGCTTTCTCCCTGTTTTCTGGCTCACTGCAGCAACACGTATTTTAATCTCCAGAAGAGAGAGCGTTCACTGAATCTGAAGAACTGCAGAGAAGGTCTGGGAAGGCTGGGAACAGCTACTAAAATTTTAAGTTTCAGCTCTAACCGGTGCCGCTCTAACCAATTTCTCATCCGGCGATGAGCGGCGATGCGCAGTGAAAGTCAGAGCCGAGCGTCCCAGCGGGTGACCGCTGCCAGCCCCGCCGCTCACACGTCCCCGATTTGAGCGTCGATTCTCGAGTCGTCCTTTGGATGAGTCAAAACAAAGCGACTTTCTTGAGTTTTTCCTTCTTTTCTCCCTTAGCCACTCACGTCTTCACTTGTTTCTAACTTAATGTATTGGCTAAATATTAGTTTGCGGTTGACAGACGGTTTGTATTGATTCGTTGTTGAAAGATTTAAGCTCGGGGCAGGGAAAATGCAGCGTGTGGTACATCTGCGGGTACGCCCAGAGGGAAAATGCCTCTTTCTTTGTCTTTGAAACTTTGCCTTTATTCGAGTGAGACCAGAGCTTCATTTGTGATTTCTTTCTAATATTAGCTGTATAACTCCGTCTTGCTGTTGCCCCTAGAAATTGTCCGAAGGAGGGGCTTTGCAGTATTGCAGTGGTCTGCTCTACATCGCTGCCTGAACCAGGATTTGGCCACCGTGCAGGTACCGGCACGGTCCCACCGGCACCGTCAGACGTTTCTCTTCATGCATAGTAGGAGTCCACAGTTGCCAGAGTAACCTTCTCCCCGATTTAATTCCTTACTTCTAGTTTTCAGAGACCATTGCGGGGGGCAGGGAGGGGAGAGAGAGAGAGATGCTGAGACAGAGACTTGTTATACCCTACTGCGAGTACAGCTTTAAACTTCCAAAGTAATAAACTCTTTAAAGCCAAGAGCCTTAACAGTTCCACACGTCTGCTGAGAGACAAAACACCGTTTCAAGTTTGCGCTGAATATTTGGGAATTTTTCTGCTCGATGGCGGGTGTCTCCTATTTGCGAGGAGGCAGCGGCAGTATCCAAAGATGATAAGGACCTTGGCCACCCTCACCGAATTACCCAGGAAGAGGCAGACGGGCTCTCCCCTTGTGCTCTCAGGAAAGTCGCCTCGCTCCCCAGGGCTGGCGTGATGGCTTTATATATTGCATTGCTCGGAAAAGCTCCTTCTTTCCGTGAAACAGTATTTTTTAACTTTGCATAAAAAGCTGTCTTCGCTGGTGGCGGGGGCTGGATTCCTCCTTTCCCACCCCCCCAGGCTCTTGCGGTCCCGCGGCATTGAGATGGGAGAAGGCAGAGATGTAGATGATGGGAAAGCCGGGTGAGTCGGGCAGGAGCTGGACGTGCCCCTGGAGCCGGACCCGGCAGAGGGCCGGAGCTGAGGAGCCGCCGTGTCAGTCCCGCAGCAGTGCCCGGGCAGCGGCGGGCTTGGGCAGCCGCGGGCTGGCGAGTCGGCCCCCCTCAGCTGGCGAGGCGGCGGAGGTTGGCGCAGGTTTGCTCTGGGGGCAGCGTCCCGCTGCCCTGCTCGGTTGAGCCGGTCCACGGTCAGCCCGACGGCTGTCGGGTGCCTTTGTCAATACATCTTCCCTCCCGGCCTGTTGGCTTCGGCTCACGTTTTCACGTGAGCAGATTTCAGCTGGTTATTAAAAGCGTGCACTAGAAATGGAGGCGCTGCTGTCTGACCACGGCCGGGCTGCACGGAGGGTTCGGGGTTGGGTTTGGGTCTGTCTGACCTCAGTTTATACAGTATTGCACCTACACGTGACCCTATATAAGCAATCGCTGCGCGTGAAGAGCTGCGGTACCCGATCACAAACAGCCTGTGAGAGATTATTTTCAAAGTGAGAAGCTCAAATTCAGGGTTGGCTTTGGTTTACCGAGTAGCTGTCAGCTGGGCAGGGGTGCGGGGCCGGTGCGGACTCTGACCATCCCCTGCTTTCTTTAAAAGCTGCCTCCGCAGTATTAGCCGAGCCTCCAGCACCGCCTGGCCGTGCGTAAGCACGCGCCGAGATTGTACAGAAAGCGTTAATTGAGAACGTTGTCGAAACGTTATTGAATTACGAATTGAAACATTAATTGAGAACAGTTTCCAGTTAAAAAGAGGGAGGAGAAGAAAAAAAAAAAAAAAGCAGGCAAATTAAAACATTTTAAAGTCTCCAGGTTAGCTGGAAATTGTTTCCTCATGACGTCTCTGTTTTCTTTCTCTTCCCACCCCGGCGAAGCCCGTGTTCCCGCTACCTTCTCCCCTCCCTTCTTGCAAAAAGAGAGAGAACCGGTCTGTTTACACACACCGCTGGGGGAAGCTGGCAGCTTCTGCCGGGGGCTTTGCTGGGGGACGGGGCTTCCTCGCAGCGGCTTCACTGTAAATATTCTGCCTGTGCTTCGTTGAGAAAACTGAAATGGAAAAAAAGTTGTATCTGTGAAATATTAAGCTATATATGTATATAGATAAAACACGTATTATCTCTGACTCGTTACTACGGCTCTGTAATCAATTGTATATTAAACTGTTTTACTGTATGGCAGATCATTTCACGCTATCTTAGATGTAGAAAAGCTGAGAAAGTAATTCACAATACACTATGTCAACTTAAAATTGGTTTGCTTTTTTATTTTTGCTCCAGCACGACTTCAGACGCAGTCCCGTGCCATTTGCACATTGTTTCGAAGAATAATAGTTTGGAACCGAAGTTTTTTCAGCCCTTTGTTTTGGATCTGGCTTCTTACAATGTTTCTTTGATAAATTATGAAACCGCCGAGTTAATTTTTGATTAGGCGCGTATTTAGAAGGCATTTTAAATGCAAAAGGAATTTGTCACATAGACCTGCTGCACTTTGATGTGTTGGTTGGCGGTAAATGACCTTCGTGTTCCCAATGCCGGTTGAGAAGATGACTCCTTCCTAATTTTTCCTCACGTTAATACTGCTCCAAAGTGTTGGGAAGGGGCTGTGCAGCCGCCCAGCCAGCAGCACCTCTGCAGCCGTCGTACTGTCGCTGCTGGCTGTGGCGGGAGGTCTCGGCAGACAGCTTTTCCACGCGGGGAGCTTGCCTTGGCCAAAATTGCGGGTGAATTTTAAATAGTTATTTTTTTTCTTTAGCAGAGAGCGTGGATGGTTTATTCTGGAATACCAGTGCCTTACTCCGATTCTCTCAATCCGCTTGGAAAGTGGAGTGAGGCATTGTTATTCTGGAGTAAGAGTCCCCAGAAAAGGAAATGGCTGACCAGGAGCAGCTGGCTGAGAAGAGGAGCCTTCATGCTTTCAAAACCTGAGCCTGTCCTGCCGACAGAGCTGAAGGTGTTGGACTGCTGCAGGCGGCTCAGCAGCAAAGCCCAGGGCTCTGGCGCGCGCTCACACACACACACACGCAGACACCCCCCCTCGGGGGCTCCTCTGAGCACCCCACGGATTGTTCGTTGGGTTTCTCGGGGGGGGGGGGGGGGAACCTGAGCCCCTGCAAAGTAAGGGTTTGACCTGGGAGGGTTGAAGGTTTCCTCTGGATCCGTGCCCAGGCGCTCCGCTCCTTCTGCCCGCTGATGACCAGAAGCCCGCAGCCATCGCGTCCCGCGGCACCAAACCCTTCTCCTCTTCGCCCGCGCTGGCGACGGGGCCGTGCGGCCGTAAGCCTTTGTACGGGTCCAGCCGGCTGTCCGAGCTTCCCTTTCCCCTGCCCTCCCTGCCGTCCCTGCCGGCTGCGGCACACCAAGAGCTTTGTCCTCCTGGAATCGCGGAGAGGTGGAGTCCGGTGTCTCCAAGGGTGCTGATTTATTGTTTTCTCCCGTATTTTAAATAGTTTGGGGTTTTTTTTTTCCAAATTCAAGGTAAGTATCCGAGCAGTGTAATGCACGCGCGGTGCGATTGGCTCTGCAGCCAGCGGTTGCACCACGTTCCCCGATGCCAACCCAGGTTGTTAATGCCAATAGGTGTGTGTAAGCCATGCTCGAGTGTTCCTGGCTGTTCACCTTCTGTTGTAGGGGAGAACCGTTCCGGTGTTATCCAGCCGGGTTTCTATTGTAGATCGTGGTGATTGTCAACTGCCAAGGGATATTTTTGAATAAATCTCATCGAGGCATTTCAAATAAATCCGGTCTTACTGTTTTCCTTTTCAGTTCTGCGTTTTCTGTCCCCCAGGTAACCCCACGTTAAAGTCTCTTCTCTTTCTGTGCTTCGGTTCATGGTCAAGAACACATTGTACGCCGACGCTGGGTATGTTGAAAGATACAGAGCCTACCTTTGTTTAGTTTACACGGGGACTGTGGGTACAAGAAAAGCCCAAAGATCTTTCAGGGACGCGTTTCACAGCGGCTCCCAAAAGGCCGGGCTGCGGTTGTCCGTAGGCAGCCTCGGGGTGACGCGGGACGGTGGGGGACGACGAGGCCAACCTGGAGGCCGTTGCATCTCTCCCGTCTGCAGGCGCTGCCGGGGATCCCGCACCTCAGTCGCGCTGCGGCAGCGGGGAGCTCTGCAGGAGCCGCTGGTTTCTTCCTCCTTTGTGTTTCAAGGTTGTCCTGGGTGCCTGAGAGGTAAGTATTAACTGACCCCTTGGGCATGGTAGCGTGGTGTGGAGGTCCCAGGCCGG